GATTACCCTCTGTCTCCAGCAGAGTGCGCCGTGGGTCTCCTAGGGCTGGAGTCTTCCTGCACACCTGTTGTTAATCGACTCATCAGGAGACCTCCCCTTTATAAGCTTCTGCCAGGCCTTGCTTCCATGCCGCAGTGTTGATCTTAGTTGGAAACCTGTCTCTGGTCTGAAGCTCAGGAAGAGCTGCCTCACTGGAACCCTGTCTCTGGTCTGAAGCTCAGGAAGAGCTGCCTCACTGGAACCCTGTCTCTGGTCTGAAGCTCTGGGAGAGCTGCATCACAGGAAACCTGTCTCTAGCCTGAAGCTCTAGGAGAGCTTAACCTGCTAATCTGCCCTGGTGAGCCAACCTGAAGGTTCCTATGTGGAATCACCCTGAAGAATCCTATGTGGAAATTCCCAGTCGTTCTCTGCAGTGAGCTGGAAGCTCAGCCTGAAGAATCCTACGTGGATGTTCCCTGTTGTTCTCTGCAGTGAGCTGGAAGCTCAGATCAAGGTCTGCCATGCTAAGCCTGAAGCTAGAAGCTTAGCTTCTTATAAACTCTGCTAACCCACAGTCTCCAGTCCCAGTCAAGACTCTAGTGAACCAGCCCTGAACTTGTTCCAGATTAAGTTCTTTATCGTGTGCTTGTGAACCATAATAAACTCTGTTGAACTTTTACCCCGTTTTCCGTGTGTGTTCTGCATTTTGGGCTTAACTCAGAGACCCATCATACACTTTATCTGTCCTAGGCTCTGTAGGGCGAGTCTGGGGCCACCCAGAAAATAAGCTATTAAGCTTATTTTCCTTCTGAATAGGCTTTGTAAATACTTTATATTGAGCATGCCCATACATACTATGTGAATTTTGTTCCAGGTGTTGCAAGATACACACTAATACTGAATACTAAGCTGAAGCTACAGATATATACTGTACCACACAGATGTGTATCTAAAGAATACCCATTACCTGCTGCTCTTAAAGCTTTTGTTGATGTTTACCTTGGTTTTCCGTTGTCTTCTTTTTGCTGTTTTTATGTTCCCTGATTTCCGTTGATCTCACCTCATGCAGTTATGGAAGCACACTTAGACTTAGACAAACTGTATTGTCCTTTAGTATACACAGAGAGTATACAAAACGAAATTTGGATGCGTAAGGCTTTCTGCATTGAATAAGCGGCTTTAAACTGTGAAATGGACATAACAATTTATATAGTGCAGCTGTAATAAAAAATGCAGAAAATGTAGGAGGAATGGAAAGCAGTTTAAAGTTATGTTGCATTGACATGGAAAGGTTCAGTGCTGTGCAAAATGAATGAATAAATATTGCGCAAAACACAGTTGAACATTGAGTTGTGTTCTATTTAAAGGGATTATGAAAAAATCAGCCATGCTGGTAGTGCAAATATGATGTTTTCATGTGTGATGCAGACACCTGAGATTCAACAGTTCAACGTTCTGATGGCAGCAGGAAAGAACCTTTTGCAGAACCTGCTGGACCTGCAGCAAATGCTGCCAAGCCTCTTCCCAGAGGGCAGCAGGGAGAACAGTCCATGGAAGGGTGTGAGGGGTCATTAATGATGTTACAGGTTTTGAAAATGCAGCGCTGGGATGAAATGTCTTCAATGGAGGGAGGAGGAGCCCTGATGATCTTCTCTGCTGTCCTTGTCGTGCCTGTCTTGTCACATTCATCCAGTTGGAGGCTCTGCAGCCTCCACACCACACAGTGTCACTTCTGGTAGTGAGGGACAAAAAACAATTATAATAAGTAGATAAATAAATGAATAAAGATTAAAGTAAAGTCTCGGTGGGCACAGTTTTCACAAAAACTTGAGTGTTTTCTTTTTTTCTGAATCTTCCTTTGTTAGCTGAACAGACTCTGCCAAGCGCTTTGATAAACTGGCATCAGAAATATCTAGTAGATGGTCTGAATCGTGCACACTAGTATATGCTAATAACTGCTATGAACCCTGACATTATCCAATGAGAAGTGTTGTTTTCAATTGAATGCAAACATGAGCTGTGTGTGTTGCTCATTATTCTTAGATCTAAGGCTGCTAAAAGCCGAAGGGTCCCAGCTCCTGAATACCAGCAGGGTTAGAAGATTTGGCTCTCCACCAAGGACCTGCCCTTGAGGGTGGAAAGTAGGAAGCTGGCACCTTGGTTCATTGGGCCGTTACCTATTGCTAAGGTGGTGAACCTGGTGGCCGTCTGCCTCCAGCTCAATTTCCAGTTTCACTTTTCTATCAGGGTTCACCCCACTTTTCATGTGTCATGGTTGAAACTGTCGGGGTTCATAAATGTAGGTTTGCAAAAGAAGAACTGAAATAAACAATAATGGATACAATTTCTGCAGAAAGGAGAGACAGTTGAACCCCAGACTCAAACACACTGTCTCCCACTTGACCTCCTCCGCAGAGCGTTTTATTAACAGAACATGACACAGGGTTACAAACAGAGTATTGTTCTGACAGAACAATTGATCAGTTCATAAAGACAGAAGGCTGCATCAGAATGACAAGGCAGGATGGTCTCCTGACTGAATCATGAGACAGGAGTGGAGCATCCCCTTGCACAAATGTTTCATAAACACACATTAATTTTATAATCATCATTGAATAAACCTAACATCCCCTCCTCTTGTGCATATAAACATTAGTACATTGCACTTCTAAAAAGATTTTTACTACACACATCATAAATGCATTGCAGATAGGGAATTGAGTAATCAAAGATCAATATGCAAAAAACAAAAATATGAAAAGGATTAAAATGTAAAACTTAAGCAAAAATGTAAGATTTATCAAGAATGTAAAAAGCTTCAAAAATCTGTCCCTTCAGTAGGCAAACCCTCTTTAAATCTTCAACTCATCCAGAGCGGTCTGTAAGAGTACAAACATAACAGTCCGTTTTATTAAAACCTTCAGCAACGCGCTTGGAATGCTGCCACCACATATTGGCACCATAGGGATGACTTGCTGTGGATCCATCAAAAACCATTCTGATTTTTCCTTTGTTTCTGGCGGTCAGTTTGAGTCCCTAAGAGCACCAGTCCAATAGTCATCATCAGGCAGCACAGCCACTTTAGTTTTT